CACCAACTATATACGATCATGAAAGAGACAAAAGTGGTAAATTGGCAATTTTTTCCCATTTATTAGATATATTAGCTCTCAACGGATGATTGATTATGAAGAAATGATTATATATAAAGACAGACTATTTTTATTCAATTAGATTGTGTTTGATATAATAGTAAAATTATGTTCGCTAAAGCAAACTTTACTCAAAATGTTACGTAGGTTTCCACAGTTAGTTATGTTTGTGAAAGCTTGAATTTAACACATTGTACTAGCTTGGTCATAGCTTGGTCCCTTTTCACAGTCGTGTTATTACTTGGTAATTTAAATATTTACTTGGTACATTTTCTGGTTATTTTTGAAACAACATTTTATAGATGTTCTTGAAAACAAGAAAATACTAAAATTGAAAAAGAAAATAATTAAAATGTTCATTTTGTATAAAAAAAATGAATTTTAATATACAGGGTGAGTCAATGTTGATTGTGAGTCAAGTGATGATATTTACAAATGAAGTACAGTGAAGACCGCCTATAACGAGCATCCAAGGGAGCGGAAAAATCGCCCGTTATACGCGATGCCTCGTTATAACCAAGATTGCCAAATATATAATCTAAACTTAGTAAAAAGTAGTTAACCGTGGTTCTTAAACGGAAAAATTTATTTTTATTATTTTCTTATTACTTTATTTAACAAAAGTATAAGTGTGAATAGTATGTGATAAACATTTGTTTAGTTTAGAATAAAATAAAGTATAGTTTAAAATAAATTTTTCCGTTTAAGAACCACGGTTAACTACTTTTTACTAAGTTTAGATTATATATTTGGCAATCTTGGTTGGCAATACGTGTATGTAATACATAACAAAATAACAAAGAAATTAACTAAACAACTATACTATACAATTATTTAAAGTGAAATATTCTTTGATGTTTTTTTGTTTAAAGTTTTTGCGCAATAATTCCTTTTGAATTACTGTTTATTATATCGCATGTAGGTNCAATACGTGTATGTAATACATAACAAAATAACAAAGAAATTAACTAAACAACTATACTATACAATTATTTAAAGTGAAATATTCTTTGATGTTTTTTTGTTTAAAGTTTTTGCGCAATAATTCCTTTTGAATTACTGTTTATTATATCGCATGTAGATGTTGGCTTCAATGTAACGTGATACTGTAGAGAAAGTCTCTAGAAATTCTTTTATTGTTATAATTCTTTCTATAATTTCCTCATCTGACTCATTATCGGATTCATCATCTTTATCTATATCTTTATCCGAAACCGAAATAATGTCTAACGTTAGACATTATTTCGGTTTCGGATAGAATTCCACCAGTTATAACGTCGTCGTCAATAGTATTACATAAATTTAAATGTAGCTCATCGATATCTAAACCATTTTTTTCTGCCCAACTGGAAAGATTTTCTTTCGTACGTACAGTTCTGTGGTTTATGCATGACTTTACCTCATCCGCTCGTTATAGGCGGATTTATAACATGCAAAATTAGTTCGTTATAGCCGATCCTCGTTATAACCAAGATTTTTAACATTGTAAGGATAGGACTTTTAACGAGGCCTGAAGACATACTCGTTATATCACGTGCTTGTTATAACCGGACTTCGCTGTATTAGTTAAAAATGATAGTTCAAATACATTAAAATTGTAAAACAAAACGTTTTGGGATTATAATAGTATATTATTATATGCGCATATAATGAGGGCTATTATTCACGAAGGTTAAGCTTATGTCACGAGCGTAGCGAGTGGCATAATTAACCTGATTAACCGGAATTTGTTTAGGTTTTTTAATGTCAAACAATTAGAAACTCCTAAAAAATTGAATTAAATTGACGTTTTTTGAACTTTTAACGTTTCAAATAATTATTATTAGTCTGGTCAAGATGGCTACCCGTGAATATTGATTATTATTCACCGCTATTATTCACTCCGTGAAAAATGACTACCATTTTGTTTTAGAAAACTCATTCATAAAGTATATATTATAAGGTAGTCGTGGACAAAAGATTATTTGAGGTTGTTATAACAAATTTTAAAAGCTCAACTTGGACAGATATTTTTAATATACAGGGTAATAAAAGGGCTTGCTCCCACCGCATTTTTCGGCTNTTTTGTTTTCGAAAACTCATTCATAAAGTATATATTATAAGGTAGTCGTGGACAAAAGATTATTTGAGGTTGTTATAACAAATTTTAAAAGCTCAACTTGGACAGATATTTTTAATATACAGGGTAATAAAAGGGCTTGCTCCCACCGCATTTTTCGGCTACAGTAGCTACCACTGATATGTATAAAATTACTTTAAAGAAAATTTTTTTCTCCAAATGGATTAGAAATAAAAAAATTTTGTGGTGGTAAAAGAATATTAGAGATTAGGTTATATCAACTTCGAAGCTTCCAGAGTGAACAGTTTTTTTTATAAAAAACATTAAAAAGAGTCGATTTAAATTTGACGTTTATTGAAAAGAAGGATAAGGAAAAACTTCCTTTGTTCAAAATCGTTTGGAATTACAAAGAAAACCTTTTTGAGATTACAAAAGATTGTTTGATGTTTGCCTGAGTCCAATTTTAAGTTTCTAAGCTGAACGGTTTTTGACACAAATATTTTTGCAATCTTCAATTTTAATTTAACGTTTCTTGAAAATAAAAATGATAAAAAATATTTTTAAATTAATAACAATATGTTTGAAAAGGTTATATATGATTTGATTTAGGGTTGGTGTAATAAAAGTCATATAAAAATAGATGGAAAATGGCTTCTTATAATTCAAAAGCAATAACTGTCGATGTCTAACAGTTACAAATTCTGTAAGCAGACTCGAATAATGAAAAATTTGATACAAGAAGAATGGGCACCATGTGAAATAAAAGAGCAAGCGAGATTCAGAGCGGGTAGAACCTGCATGGATAATATATTCAGTCTAAACCAAATCACAGAGAAGAAAGTAGCTACAGGAAGAACAACATATCTCTTATTTGTGGATCTCACCAAGGCATATGACACCATTCCTCAACAAAAATTGTTTCAAGCGCTATCGTAAATGTCAATAAATGTCAAAAGAATTATACAGAGGGGCAGAAGCAGCAGTAAAGATAAACAAACAAATATCAGAAAGCTTCTACATCACCAAAGGCCTCCGACAAGGAAGCACACTGTTACCTCTATTATTCAACATATATGTGCAGATTGCTCTTGAAGAATGGAGAAAGAAATGTAGAAGGATGGGTGTAGAATTGGATGAATAAACAACGCTTAATCGAAGTATACGGCCGGTGTGCTTGGTTACTAATGTAGCAAAAACACAGTATATTTGCAAAAGATCTCGTGCTAAATAATAACACCTTAATTAAATGATGCGAAGAGTGAACTAAGATGGGCCACAGTGGAAGATGTGAAGCAGAAATAGGAAGCCGACTACAACGGGGAAAAACAGAATAAAAGCCATAAATTCCCTTCTTTGGTCAAAAAAGATCTCAAAAAAAATAAAACAATATTCCACTATCTTTATCCCCGTGGCGCTGTACGGATGCGAAATCTGACAATTAAATAAACAAATAGAGAATCGGCTACTGGCAGTTGAAAAGGATTTCTGGAGAAAAGCAGCTGGCAAGACTAAAGTAGATCGAGTACGAAATACCAACATACGAGAGGTGATGGGGGCGCAAACAACGATAGTCGACGAAGTTCAAAGAAGACAGCTCCATTGGCACGGTCACGTTCAAAGAATGGGTCCAAGAAGAAAGCGATGCAATGGAGTCCAACAGAAAGAAGAAATAGGGTAATAATATTTTATTTATTATTATTATCGTTTCTACTGTGAAAAACTCATGTCTTTAATACTACAAATAAAATTAAAATATGACGTCATATTGTTCTGCAAAATGAATTTATTTCAATTTTACTCCCTTGATAAATAGCTTTTCGATTCGGATTTGTGATCTTGCAAATTTATAGATCCCAAAAGGAAACCAAAATCTCATATCTCCTTGGTGGTTTGTAAACTGTATCTTTCGCTTCTGTTTATCTTTTGCGATGTGTTTGACGTTCATAATTTAAATCGTTTGCTTTTCGTGCTTCACACTAAGGGGTTGTGAATAATAAGGATTATGAAATATAAATTTCCTCGTACATGTTTATAATTTATAAATTTCGATCGTTAATTTTCCTCCTGTCGTTTCTCAAATTTAACTTCTTCCTTTAAACTTCGAACTTAATTGGAAAGGGTAATTTTTTTCTCTTAACCAAACACACCGAGAAAAGGAAATTGTAATTGCGGGGGTGGCGATTCCTCCTACTATTTGTCTCTTAATCGATCGGCTGTTTCTAGTGCTTTATTGGATTGGGTTCAGCACACAGGTGTTTTCGTTTCTTTACATTGAAAGAATGTAGTAGAATTATTTTTTTTAATTGAATCGAATCCAATATTTATAGCTATTAAAACGAGACTTTACTCTTCATCCTTTTTTTTTAAGACTAAAGTTACATCTACGCAAGTTTAATGTCTTCCTGAAGCGTAATGAAGTTGTTAAAATGGCTTTTCTAGACCTTAACACAAGATAATTATGTAACATTAACCAGTAAAAATGATACCTTGCCTCGGGTACCTTGCTCAGAAGGAAACTCATTTATTACAAAACTCTTGGACATTAGACTTCGAGTTGATGGAGTATTCCAGTTTTAAACAACGGTAATTAAGCTGACGCGAAATTCCGATTTCTCATTAATTTTTGCACTGTATAAAAAATATTCTAAAAAGAGATTATTATTTTTTTGCTCCTCACTAATAACACAGCGCGCACGTGACTATGAACGATTAAAAGAGCTTTTAACGAGATCCGAGTACTACAACAAAAGCTTTTTTCCACAATATGTTATCCCTTGTTTTTTTTTCTCTCTTCTCTCAGTTTCTTTTCTTTAATTAAATTTTTTTTATCCCATTTTTATTCGAATCTTTTGAACACAAAAATACTTTCAATCAAACTTACCCCTGAAACCTTTCTTTTCAATTCCCCTTTTTGTTGCGAGCTTTCCCGCTTCGAAACACTTAACGCACGGAGCTTTCGTTGCAAAAACCGTTAAAGCTCTAGGTGTACTGACTATCTAGCGAGCTTTTCGTTTCAGTACTGATCGCTACATCGTTACGTGCGGACCAACGTGAGAGCTTTAGCCCGCCAATCTCACCCGTGACCTGCGCAGATGTGGGGAGCTTTTATGGACATTCTGTGCCGTTTCGGAATGGAAATCTTCGTCCGTCGCATCGTGGTTAAAATGGTTAACGGTTACTACCCGTCTTGGAATTCGTTATATAAAATTGTAGGGATATAAATAAAGTAATTATTTATTCTTAAAAATTCCATATAAAATATTATGTGCTTTTTTACTTGGGTTTGATAAAAATTTATAATCTTGTGAATATTAAAAGTTTTAATAATGATGACAACCTCATTAATTCAATGATGTGTCCAAAGTATATCGAGAAATTTAACGTAGTACTTAAATAAAGACAAAGTAAACTAATATAGTGCTATCCTTGCCTCATACAGATTTCTTAGCTGTATATAATCAATAAATTATGTTCAGACACGTTTTGGTAATTATCGAAAAAGAAGATGATTCACTTGGTATTTCCCAATTAAGATTACGTGTCTCTTTTAAAGTGCAAGAAATCAGTTTGAAACGAAAATTAAAAGACAAGGTGTGAATTATATCATAATAGCATATTTGTAGGGTTTGGAAGTGGAATGTTCATCGGTTTCCTTGAACCAGAATGCTTAGATATGTTTTATCGTCTCGTTGATTTGCTCGATAAAACTTCATTTTAAAAAAGTGCTTTTTTCTCTTGCAGCTTCCCGTAATGAGACCTGTAACTATTTGTGTAAGATAAAAGACCACTCGTGGCTGTGTCCCATCAGTTAAAGAATTTTATGGGTGATGTGCTTAATCGATTCAGTATGAGTAGATAAAGAGGGGGTGATTATTAACTTTGGACGTTCTGCCGATGGCTCGTTTAGCCAGAATGCCTCTTAATCCATTGAATTATGGCGTGATTGTGTTTCGAAGCCTTTTCCAATGTCAATCATAGATTATATATAGATTACAATTTGTATATTCCGTTTTACACTCGACAAAGGATGTGTTAATCACTACTCCTACTATTGTCATACTACTGTTAGCGTTCCCAATTCTTCTTGATTGCAGGTTTTAACATGGTTATCAATGTCACCTCCTGAATATATAGGTATAGTGGTTGTAAATTCTATGGGTTTAATGTAGTGATTAATTCCAATGCGCCTGTAACATACAAACACGCGAGTTTCTGTTTTATTAAGTAAGGCGGTGGCGGTGAATTGTGTAGTTTAGAGCATAAGTTAGCATTCGTCGAATTACAACCGTATTGATCCAAACTATCTTGGAAAACGAACTCCAAAACTCCGCGTCAGCCATACGTCACTAGTCGAAAGTGCCGCAAGCCTTATTTACTCTATTTTCTACATGAAATTTACACCTCAACTTACTTTTTAGCATTAATTCTAACTACTTAATCTCTGTAGAACGTTTAAGTGGACTATAAGAAGAAATATTTCCGCTTTCTTATGTTGGCAGAAAAAAATTGGACCTTAATTGAAAGTTGATGTAATAACTCTCAATTAAGGTGTGTCAGGAGGCTCTTTCAAAAGTTTGGAATTCTTCAACTCTTGACAGTATGAACTCCACAACTTTTTAAATTTTGAAACAATGTCCTTCGGTCCAAATTCAGGAATATTGAGCGCGTTAAAAATTCTCTCAACTGCTGCTATTCTCAAATCTCGCATTCTGTAGTCTTCGATAGTTGCATCAAAAAACATTGGTTCACTAGCATACTATTCGAGACACCGCATGATCTCATTGCTTCTGCGTAGCCCACGGTTTTTAAACCGTCTAGGTTTAGATGTTCTATGGTTTTCCATAAGGGTAGCCATGCCTTAACTTAACGTTTCTATATCTTAAAGTTCTCACAATACATTCAAAAAGAATCGCAGTTGCACATTGTACTTTAATAAAGATTTGCTAATTGTAGAGAGGACTTTATCAAAATCGCCTTAAACGTTAATGAAGACTCCCAAAGCTATTCTCTTGCCAACGAAGTAAAATAGCTGTTAGAAACTAAATACATTCTTGATGATTATTTCTTTGGTTATTTGTTGACTCGAAACAACCACTTTCTTCAAGCTAAAGATTTCTCGGGATGAGGTAGAGTATTTATTAAAGTCAGTCCACAACTCCCGCTTAAGTTTGATAAAGTTAGAACATCACCAAATGGTTGCATCACCCGAATTTTGCCTCTTGCTGAGAAGACAAGCCTTCTTGTATGATATATGATAAGGTTAAAGAATAACAATTCTCCAATTAGAGAAGATTTGTATTCCCATATTAAGTAGCTATCAGCTGGTTCTAATTATCCAAATGTTGGTACCTAATCTAAATTTAACATCTCTCCTTCAGGGAATGCGCTCAGTTTGGTTGCGATTATGTACCTTAGATTAAAAGATCGATGGTATGAGAATGACAGTAGCAGTTGGTCTCTTGTGACGCAGGTTGCACTGAATTACTCTTAATTGAGTAACATAGTGGTGAGATATTCGGTGACTCTTCCCAAGAATAGTGAGTCCAGGACTGATTGCTCTAAAGCCTTTATTGTAGCTGCAGTCGTGTCGCCTAGAACCTTATATTTGCTATGATATTTTGAATTAATAAAGAAGGTTTACCTCCGTTCGAATTTAAACAGTTATCTTTCTTCGCAATTCCGAGAATTCATAAATAGGTATATATTCTCGTGGCAGACATAAATGGTTTAGCTACTCCAAGGATGTTATTTGGCAAATTCTGATTAGGAGAGTTCTATTATTAGTCGTGGTACCATGTAGACACTTGAAGTGTAGAGATTAAGAATAGTTCTCTGTAGTAAGATATCTGTAAAAAAGAACGGTTTAAAATACAAAAAAGGTGACGCTGAAAAATTTAAGACCTTCTTTCAAAATGAAATATTTCAAATCTGTTAAAGAAATACTTAAATAAAGTTATAATGACGAATATAATAACATTGAATTGTAAATTAAAGATAAGTCAAATTCTTTCTGGAACATGCAAAAAAAAAATTTTAAAAAATTTAAAAAATGTTTCTGTGTACTACTAGAAATTGAAACACTACACTTCGTTGAATACTTATAATAATATGAATACTAAGGGTTTTATGAAAACAAAAGTTGTTGAGTTAGATGTTTAAATGTTGTTGTTATGATATAACAAACTTGAAAAACAGGAAATTTATTATTTCTTGATAACTTATTTGTTAGTTGTTTTTTATATGTTATTGCGTGCACTAAGAATTTATAGATTTTTAGTTATATATTTAAAATCATTTTCTTGAATATGGACTCGATTAATTTTATCTGCGATTGTGATGTTGTGTTTAGAGTCAGTACGAGCTCGAGTTCCGCAGGATCCAACCTTAAAATTGCACTCGCTAGATGTCTGCAATGTTAGACTTGCAAATCGTGCAAGGTTAATTGGTGTTAATTGACTACGATTAATTTTAATAAATGCCTAGTTTCCTTGTCCGAAATATTATTACCAAGAAATGCTTTGGTAAAGTCTTCGTAAATTATCGCTCCTACATAATTCATTAAAGCTGATAATGCACTAAATTAAAATGAATAAAATTTAATTAATGAAAATTTCAAATTAAAATTGATTATAAAATGTTGTCTTAAAGCTGCACTTAAAATTCCTGCTATAAATAACCCAGCAAGTCCTGGTATATTCTCTTTAAGTCCCGTGGAAACATCCACAACGTAATAAGGAAGCATTTGGTCACGTTTTTGAATTTTATTAGATGCTAAAGGATCGCAATTAAAATATTTCGCGTACATTGCAAAACCGTTAAAGAAAATGATCGATAAAAGAAAGGTTAAATATGTCCAAAATGTTAACAAAGCTCTGAAAAATAATAAAAACGATAATTTACAAAAATTAAATTGTTGAATAAAATTCTTTTATCTACAACTATTGAATTATCTATTCGTTATACAATTGATTTTTGACGGGTAATGACACTCATTACCCATGACAGACAAAGTGTTGAATAATGAGGCCATTATTCCACACTTCTGACACTGCCTACTAATCAAAAAATAAAATATTAACAGAAATGACAGCTTTCTTATATTGAGGTTATGTCTGAAATGTCTATCAAGTTTATTTTTTTTTCGTTTTTTTGATTTTTTTTTCAAAATTAAATAGTTGTAGATAAAGTATAGTATTCAACTTGCGTATAATGGATGTTACCCACTCAGATTACAACACTCGCTCGCTTCGCTCGCTCGTGTTGCAACTTCTTCTTCGTGGGTAACAGCCGCCATTATACGCTTGTTGAATAATATACTATTAT